TTTAAATTTTTGGCAACTCTTCAGCCAAGGATCTGGTAGCAGCGTACAAATAACACATGCAGACAAAATGCAATGAAATCCAGCAATTGCAAATGGCAAGTTATAAACAGAACATGGCAGGGAGGCTGTGCTGAGCAAGTGTGGTGTAGTGGTTAAAGTGTTGGACTAGGACCTGGAAGACAAGGGTTCAATTCCCTACTTGGTGATGAAGTTCATTTGGGCCAGTCACTGACTCTTAGCCTAACCTACCTCACATGTTGCATGGATTATATAGTGAGAAGGAGAAATAGGTCCACCACCTTGAGCCCCTTGGAGAAATGATGGGATATAAATGTAAAAATAAATAAAGAAAAATGTTTGCTGATTGCACTGGAAAGAAAATAAATATGGTGTGAGGCAAACATCTATGGGAAGGAATTTTTGTGAATAGCGTGGAATAAGAGAGTAAGAAGAGCTATGGTGGATCAGACCAAAGGCCCATCTAATCCAACATTCAGTTCTCACAGTAACCAACCAGATGCCTAGTAGAAGACAGGACCTGAGTGCAACACTGCTCTCCCAACTAGTGATGTCAATCAACTGGCATTCAGAGGCAAACTGCCTTTGGTGGTGGAGGTATGGTATTGTAACTATTGCTAGTAGCCACTGTCAGAATGGAAAAGGACTGCCTCTGATGTTATCCCCTGTTTTACTTCATTGGTTATATTGCCAGCTAGATAGCAAAACAGGGCCATTCCCAAACCAATGATTTCTGCATACTTGGAGATTTCCCTAAGTATGCAGTAACATACAGTTAGTTAATCATTTGAAAGAAAGTGGAGGACGAAATAGCGTGATGCCAACTGAGCAGGCTCAGCAGCAGCCAAGAGTTATGAAATTTTGAGCATGTCAGTTGCAGGTGGAGGTGAGGGAAAGAAATGGAAACCCAACAGATTACAGCATAGGTCACCAATGGGAATTTATGGGTGCAGATGACCCTGTGGAAGCTTTCTTGGGAACCTAGATGGCCACATCACCCTGCCCCTACTTAAATTAGCTCGAAAGAAGCCTTATTTAGTCAAAGCACCACATAATCAAATTTCCCATTTCTAGTATATTAAAATCCTGTGCAGAGATGATTTCAGCAAGGGAGGGGAGAGTTTTGTGCTGTGAGTCCTGAAAGACCTGCTCCTTGCTTTGCAGGCCTTTTTCACCCTGGCCTGGAAGGTATTACCCTGACTGACTCAAGCTAAAAAAGCTGAGGCTGCTGAACAGACTTGGGGTTGGGGTGTTGTTTGGAGTTTTCTGTTGGGGTGGGAAGTTGTTGCTGTTGGTTTTTTGTATTATCATTATAGATCTTGTTGTGATTTATGTGGAAAGTGCAAGGTTTGGTTGTGCATTTTGTTAATGTTTACTTATTTATGACTACTTTTGTTATGTTGTTTTTGCGATGTAAGTCACATTGAGCATGGTTTGAACTATGGAAAGGTGGCATACAAGTAAAATTATGTATGTATGTATGTATGTATGTATGTAATGCCCCAACAGCTTCTTCAGTTTGCTAATACAGTCATATGTGTTACAAATGCCGCGGGATGCGTGTTTTCGGGTTGTGGACTGCACCCAACTCAGAAGTACTGGAAAAGGTTACTTCTGGGTTTCGGTGCTCGCACATGCACAGAAGCACAAAATGACATCACACACATGCGCAGAAGTGCCGAATTGTGTCATGCGCGTGCACAGACATGGTGCTTCAGGCTGCGAATGCTGCAGGTTGCAAACGTGCCTCCCACACTGATCACTTTCGCAACCAGAGGTATGACTGCATAACTGTGGGCCCCCAAAGTTTGTGGATCCCTGGATTATTACATGACTCCCACTGAAAGTGGAGAAGATACACCCCTCTCAGATATTTCAGAAGGAAGGGTTAAAATAACATGTGGATATTCATATAATTTGGGGGAGAGGGTAAAAGAATTGACTGGTGAAGTTTCATAGGATTGCATTGAACAGTTATACTCAGAGTGGACCCATTGATATTAATCAGACAAAACTAGCTTACGCTTCTTAATTTCAATGAACATACTCTGAGTAGAAATCAGTTGGATACAACCCTTACTTATTAAATCCCCTGGAGGTGTTCTAGGTTAATTTTGGGAAGCAGTCATTACCTTATTAATGTGTAGAGGAAGCCATTTGTAACGATGCTATCTCTGAGACATGCCAAATTACTATGAGATCAGTCTCAGTAGTCAGAAGTAAGCAATAAAACTCCTCATCCTGACGTGGCCTCTGTCTATGTTTGGCAAGGAAAGCTGGCACTTTGGGAGTATGAGAGGCGGCAGTGCATCACTTCTGGGAAATCTCAAGTCATGAGACACCCCCACCCACCCACACCACACCTCACCCTGGCTTCTATAGGCTTCCTCTTCTGGGCTTCCCTTTCCCCCTATTGCAGTAACTACACAGAGTTAAAAGAAAAAGCCAGTTGCCTTGTAAAACACTGTCGATGCCATCCAGAATGTTTCCTACTTGCCAAGACACTGAGATTTCTCAAAAGTGTCTTGCTAGCTGTCACCATGCGTTAATTGAGCCTACAGGCCCAGATGGCATCTGCTCCCTGGAGAAACCAGTTTCCAATCATCCTGCAGCAAAGAAGAGCAAATTGGGAAGGGTAGACTATTCAGAAGGAAAAGCATTCACACTTTTATTTAAAGGTTCCATTGTGCAACAAATTAATTAAGGACAGCATTACGGGGTTACCATATTGCAGGCAAGGGGTGTGTAGGCACTGCGGTAGGCTTCTCTTCCCCCCGCCCCACCATGTGTGTGTTTGTGTAAATGTGTGAGTGTGTGTAAGTGTGTGTGAGAGAGAATTCAGGGGGCTTCGGGGGCTTCACAACATTCACACAAATACTCTTGAATATATTTAAGATTTTATTGCCAAAGAACAGTACATATCAAGAGCATCTGTTGTGGCTCCTTTTCAGTCAACATGATAACCATAGGAATAATAACATTGTCAGGGACTGTAAGATTTGAACAAGAAAAATGATGAGCACATGGCTGTGGGGTTACTCAAATGGTTCACTATGGTGTCTCTGCTCAGGCACAGAAGATACACAGTGGGTATTGTATTATCAGACCCTGATTGGAAGACAGCATTGTCATAATTCAGTGGTAAAGCATCTGCTTTGTACATGCAAAAAGTCCAGGTTAAGTCGCTGGGACTGGGAATGTCCCCTGTCTCAAAGCCTAGTGAGTCACTGCCAGTCAGTACAGTGGTACCTCGGGTTACATACACTTCAGGTTACATACGCTTCAGGTTACAGACTCTGCTAACCCAGAAATAGTGCTTCAGGTTAAGAACTTTGTTTCAGGATGAGAACAGAAATCGTCCTCCGGCGGCGCAGCAGCAGCAGGAGGCCCCATTAGCTAAAGTGGTGTTTCAGGTTAAGAACAGTTTCAAGTTAAGTACGGACCTCCAGAACGAATTAAGTACTTAACCCGAGGTACCACTATATAGTCAAGACTGAGCTAGATGGACTAATTGGTCTGATTCAATAAAATACAACTTCAGTTGTTAGCAAGTTTTCATTAAACCTTTGGACTGACCAGGCCTACTATAGGCTATTGGAGTCTTCTGCTATTCTTGCATCCTGTTTTCTGTGCTTCCCGCTCAAACTTCCCAACTCAAATATTTGAGCTTAGATGTAGATACAAGTGATGGCTATGGCCTAGTCCTAAGACACATGATCTGAAAAATGGGGGGAGGGAACAGGCTGGCATATGGTGACCCCCATATGCTCCCCCTAAATCACATCCCAAAGACATGGCATACAATAAAGCTGTCAGTAAGTCCAAAGAAAAGTAGCACCCAAATCTTTAGAGCTGTCTTCTGAGGTCAAGATCTCCTCAGATTAGAGTAAACACTTACGTATTGACAGAAAATAAAGGAAACATGTCACCCAAAAAGATATTGAAAGAGGACACAGGGCTTGCATAAAATTTGTGTATATTGATTAATAGGGCAGTGCACCAGATTCAGCCAAAGCCCAAATATTTTGGGGGGTGGGTGGGAAGGTGCTTTGACTGAGTTGGGTGGTGAAAGCCCCAGATCAGCCTGAGTCAGACAACCCCTGCTTGTTCCCTGCCAGGAAGGCACCAAGAAAGCACAGCAGGATTGAATCCTCCACCTAGTGAGCTGAGGTTTCAGTTCTGCTGCAGAGAAGGTGTTTGCAAAGCAGCCCCCAGCAGGATGATAGAATCATAGAATTGTAGGGCTGGATCCAAAGCAGAAACTAATGGGGAAGCAAGAACCTTGCAGCCTGGGAGGTGGGGAGGAGATGTGGTGCCTCCTTCTTCCATCCCCTCTTAAACATTAGCCCCACCCCTAAATTGATTTGGGGTCAGATCCAGGTGAGGCTGGGGCCAATCTAGAGCCCCAGAATGGGTCAAGGGGACTGTGCACAGACAGACAGACAGACAGATAGATGATAGATAGATAGATGATAGATAGATAGATAGATAGATAGATAGATAGATAGATAGATAGATGATAGATAGATAGATGATAGATATAGATAGATAGAATTTAAAGGGAAATTTCAAAGGCACTTTCCCGATTGTCCTCCCCAAATATGTTATAATAAGTGACTACTGGAGAAAATGGGTTTTCAGTGCTGGTAGTGCCATTATGGAATGCTCTCCCAAGAGTGAGGGTGCTGACTGGGGAAGTGAAAGGGGGCTGCCCCTTATTGAGATGGTGCAGAAGTGGGGCAAGGTGGTGGAGAGGTCAGGACTGCGTGGGCACACCAGTGGGAATACTGGATTGGCTCTGCCCTGAGCTTGCTGCCACCCTCTCTTGCCACCACACCACCTCAGCTTGGTGGCAACAGAACTGACAATGCCTTTTCCTGAGGCCGGGGTGGACTTGCCTGCAAGTAAAAAAGGGAGAGTCTAACAAATGGACAAAGAGACTTAGAGCTTGTCCACACTTCATTTTGTCCTGTGATTTCTAGGTACAGGTCCGAGAGGTTTTTCTTTTGCCCCACCACTTTCCTTTTGTTTGCTGCTGAATCAGAACAAACATCAATCAGGTTTTCAGCAGAAGTGAAGGTGAGCTCTTATACTGCAAAGCTGGAAGGATAAACACCCACTATTTGCTTCCCAGTGCTTTGAGGATCTCTCTATGTTTGAATGTATAGCTTATACTTATCAGTCTTGTTTGGACACCTATTTGAACATATTGACTGCCTATATATAGGTATGTTTACATCAGGATCAATGGAATTATTTTTAGGATGATGTCATGTGATAAAGTTTGTTTCCACACTTCTCTGTTATATTTGCAATAAGGATTTGAGATGGTGACTACCCACAATGACTATACTCTACCTCCACAGTCAGAAGAAGAAATGCTTCTGAATATCAGTTGCTGGAAACCACAAGGGTGTGTGTGTGTGTGTGTGTGTGTGTGTGTGTGTGTGTGTGTTAATGTGCCTGTTTGCTGCTTGAGGGTTTCCTATAGCCATCTGGTTGGTCTTTGTGACAACAAGATGCTGGACTAGATGAGCCACTGGCCTGGTCAGGCAAGCTCTCCTTATGTTCTTAAATAAATAAAAGAAAAACACACAAAGATGAAGAGGAAGAAGCCAGTTCTTATCCCTGTTTCAATAAATTTCCACTTAGCAGTCAGGTGTTGCTACAGTTAATTAACTAAATAAAGTTGTGGCCCTAATTTACTCCACCACATTTGTTTTGTCTCTTTATTTGGGGTCTGTGGGTGGAAAACATGTGCTGTACTACTGAACTATGGTCCTTCTCCAATTGGTTTTTTTAAAATCCCCATAATGACTGATTGGGTAAACATATGGTTCTTTGGAAAATATGTGGAAACTCCATACATGATACTACCCACCGATTATGGACAGCGCTCCCAAAATATGTGCTCTCTGTAAAATTGTGAATTTAGGCAATCCTACAGCTTAGTTTGGGAAGGGATCCTTTTATCGGCTTTAGTAGAAATGATATAAGGAGTCATGTACAAATAAGTATTAAGTTTTAAGTTTTAAGGTTTTTTATGGTAAGACAAGGTTAAATAAATTAAGGTAAATTGAATGACAGAATATAGTGAAAGATGGAAAGGATTTGCTGAGTTAATTCATAGGTTAGATCGTCAAGATAAATTATATAACAAAAACTGAGAAAGATGGAAAGAATTTGCTGAAACAATTAATTAAATTAGAATACAAAAAGGGAGGTGTGAGGAGGTCGATGAAACAAGTAAATGAAAGATAAAGATATGGAACATTGGATGTGTGTTTTAATGTTATTGTTGTTGTTTTTTGCTGTATTGTTGTATTGTTTTTTATACTTTTCCTTTTATGTATTGTAATGTATGTCTTGTCAATTTTTTTGTTGTTTTCTTTTCTTCTTCTTTCTGTAATTCTTAAACTTCTAATAAATATCATTTTTTTTAAAAAAGGAAGGGATCCTTTTATCATAAATAAACCTAGAACTGGCTTTCAAAGGCTCATTCTAAAGCTTTTGGAAATCTCTGGGCATTCTTCCACTGATTCCATAATGAGGTAGTTTGCAGAAATAAGTCAATATACATTTGAACAATATTGTGTTGGAAAAGTCAGGAAATTCAGCCCTTCTTATACAGTATATGAATTCTCCTTTGTCTCTTGTCTGTCATTTACAAATGACTGCATGTCTTTGACAGATGTTTCCCTATTTGTGAGAAGATGTTCACAAATGATTCTCATGTTTAATAAACATTTTTCCCCACAGTCATTTTTCCCCAACACGGTTTTCAGCAATAGCAAATAAGGATATTTCATTGCCAAGTGGTTACTTACTGTTGTGCACATGCATGTATGAACATATTATTATGAGTTGGGGAGTTGTGATGGACAGCTGTGCTAGACCAGTCTTAGAATTCCAGCAAAGGGCTGGAGCCTCTCTCTGATTGGCTACCAAGATAGCCAGCCAGAGAGGGTGGAGCCAGCACTTTGGAAGGGAAAATAAAAGGAGCCGCTTCTGAGAGAGGGTTCAGATGAGGAGATTGATTAAGAGAGATCAGGAAGGAGAGGAGAGTTGGTTTTGGTCTGTGTGTAACACCCACTCTGTGGAAAATATCTACAGCTAGAGAAAGGAGTCTCTGAGCTTCAATATGAAGACAGTGTGTAGTGTCTTGGGAGAGTCTTCAGAAAGGAGTTAATTGGAGGGCTGAGTTTAAGCAGGAGAAGTAGAAGCTGTGAGGATACCGTCTCCTTGGGTCTCATGACAGTCAGGAGGGGAGAGATCTAGAAAGAGAAGACTCCCAAACCAGTTAAGAGGGGTGTGGTGAACTGCTGAGTCTGTTATACTGCCAGAAGTACCTCAGGAATGGGAGTGAGAAAAGGTTGGGAAACTGACAGAAAGTTCCACCCTGTTTAAGAACCAATGTATTAAGTTGTAACACCTATGCAACAGTTAAGATAAGGAACAGAAGTGAAATAACATCACTTCACGTTTAGCTAAGTCTAAAACCTGTAACATCTAACTGAAGAGTAATAATGTAAAATAAGCAACTGAAGTTTAAAAGAACTGCCTTGTTTGGAAGCCAACAACACCCACTAGATTTAGTATAATGATTAATAAGTTTACTATTTCGCGAAGGTACATTATCTCTGGACAGTTTATCAACTTTGTTCTGTAAAATAAATATTTTCTCATTTGTTCAACTTCTGTCTGAATCTCCAAGGATCTAAGTTTACCCTCACACAAAAACCATATGATAACCCATGGTGGTTATATAGAGTATCCGTAAGTGGGATCCACCACAATTGATATCCAGAACAGTGGGATCTGCTACAAATTGGTGTTAGCGGTGGGATCTGCTATAGGGGGTCAGTCTGGATGATACCTGGAGTACTTTCCAATTCTTGGGATCCTGTATCTGGGTGGAATGTATGAGAGCAAGCTTGCCAAGCTTCTTTCTTTACCAAAGTTATGCATTTGGCTAGCTACACACTATTATAACCAAAGAAATTGCTCTGTGCCATAAGGCAAATGGATAGGCCATCCCCACCACGACACACCTAGTTGCTAGGTAAGATAACAATAGCCAAAGTGGTGTGTATGAGCTGAGCTGGAAGCAGGATGGAAGCTGCAGTCAGAGACTTGCTCGCTCTGTGCTGGATCCAAAGCAACAACCAATGGAGAAGCTAGATCTTTAGGAATGTTAATGTTTTTAGCCCCTCCATTTCAGGTTGGCTGAGGTTGTATATATGTGTAAATAAAACCATATATCCTAAAGACACCACAATCTCTGTTGACCTTCATTCCAAGGAAACCACATTCTGGGCAAGCACTGGAACCCCTGAAATCTCTCAGTGCTCAATAGATTGGGTGATGTATAACAATATGAAACTGATACTGAGTCAGAACAGTGATAAGCTTGCTCAGGGTCTCAGGCAAAATCTGTTGCGTGGCAAGACCCTCAAGCTGCCCCCCCCCCCCATTAGGATAAATAAATTCACACAGACACGGATATTTTGTTTAAGGTTTTTGGGCAAAAATTTGGCCACAACTTTATTGATTACAGGAATGAGAGCGGTATTTGCTTAGGCATTGGCAAGACTATATCTGACTCCTACCCCCTTTGCAGGAAGTCCGTAAGGGTCAACCACCCAAAGGGAAATTGCTTCGGGGGAACCCGCCTGCATTTCCCCTGGTGTTCCCAGAGGCCTGGCATGGCCCTAGCCCCTCAAGCAGACTTCAGACAGGAACCAGGCCCCGGATTCCTTTAACGGAATACCCTTGAAACTGGAGGGGCAGGCGATGGCTGACCTCCCCTTCCCCATTCACCATAAGCCAATGCCTAACTGCCAAACCTTACAAAGTTGTGACAATTGCAAAAACCAAGTGGCCCATGCCAATTTGCCAAATGGAAAAATTCCTACCCGGATCCCGACTCAAGCCAGGCAACCAACCAAAGTCCAAAGCAAGGCCAAAGGATCTAAATTAAAGGGAGGGTGGGCGGGTGTTTGGCAGTGCCAAGCAGGAGCCAAGCACACGTCGCACTGCCACTTTTATACTTTTCCCCACCATCACCCTTTGAATTGATTGGGCAATAGCCCTGGGTGATTGTGGTGCCACCCTGGCGTGAGGGCAATAGCTCCACCCATGCCAGGGTGGTGGTGGGGAACCAGGTTGAGAGCCTGCCCACAACCAGGACCATCTATTAAGATGATCCCATTTATTAGCCCTACTACCAGAGCTCCTTGTGAATAGAGATGGCAGGGACTGAACTTGTGACCTTCATTCTCAGTGACCCATCACTGAGCTACTGACCATTCTCAGTGGTGAGTAAAATCTGGTAGCCCTTTTGTTTCTGATCAAAATCCAGGGGAAACAGATGGTGAAATGAGATTCTTTTCACCAGTTGGCAGGACAGATGGGACAACCAGCTACCATATGGTTACATCAAGGTTAGTCAATGTGATGTTCTCCAGATGTTGTTGAGCTCAAATTCCCAGTTGTCCTAAACAGCTTGGTAAATGGTCAAGGATCTTAGGAACTGAATCTGGGCATCATCACGGGATTGCATCGGATACCCCTGGGTAGGGATAAGTGACTGGCAACTTTGGTTTCTCCAGACTTAATCTCATTTCTCTGCATGTTCACATCTGCATGCATTTCTTTTTAAAAAAGTTTTCCTGGAAATTCCTCAGCAGCTTAGTGTGAATTTCTTCTAATATACATATTTTAATGCAGTTCTGTCTAATATAATGCATTTTATTTTCACCAAAATATGCATTTCTATGCACACTTTACCCCAGTGTATACATAGTTGTACACATAATGTGGTTGGATAACTGCATTGCAAAAATTGGAGAAGTGTCAATCAATCTCCATAATCGCAATGGTTTTACAAAGTGCTGCCACCATCTTAGTACACCCTATATGTCCCCACTGTGGAAGGATGTGTGGATCCAGAATTAGCCTCCACAGTCACTTACGGACTCACTGTTAAAACTGTGTTTATGGAAGACAATCTTACTCAGCTACGAGTGATCACCAGAGAAAAAGAAGACACCCTATAATTTGTGATTCATACAAGTAGTGCCTACATGTAACCTTGGAGGGCAACCTTTATGTAAACTGGTGCAAAATGATGTAAACTCTCCTGAGCTGGGGAATTGTTACCTCCTTGAGCTCACCATGGCATGAGGGAAATAACATCCACTTTTGTAGTCTAGTATTGAGCACCAGTCCCATGTTTCAGGACTGGGTAGTGGGCAGCAGACTGAGATGAGCCAGTCCGAAAATGAAAAATCTGTTCAGCTCTAGTTTCATTACTTTTCTTATCTCAACTCAGTCTGGAACAAACAAATTACATCCAGAACTGGCTCCGTGTGTGTATATACAGTGCAAAAATGTCACTATGTGAGCCCTCAAACAAGCATGTTTGCAAAGGGGATGTAGTTTGACTTCATTAAAAAGCCCCCCTATTGGCATGATCTGTATTTAGTTCTTGGAAATGCAAGTTCAGCGGCTTAATTCCCAGCATGCTAAGGTTAGTTAGCAAATGGTCCTGTTGCCTGGCAGTGCAAACATTTGATTTCTGGCAAGACAAATCTACAGAGTTCCTGGCAAAAACACACACAAGTGGATGCTTTATTCCTCCTCTTTTTCTGCAAGCACACCCATCTCATTTTGGAGTCTCTAGAGACAGCTAAGATACGGCTCTGCATTTCTGACCACGGAATGCAAAATTATTCCTTTCAGGAGAAACATTACATGAACCTGTTGGCAACCCAAACATACAGAAGGTTCAGCTTCCTCACAAGACCAGCCTGGTGTGACTTGTGAAAGAACAAGTCTTGTTGATTTGCTGCCAGTGGAAATTACTGGTGGTCACACCAAGGCAAACATACCAGATGGAGTCCTGAAAGGGGAAAAAAATAAACCAACCTGATTTTTGCAATCACCAGCCATCATATATTTATACAGTACCTATGCCACCATTCTGATGTGGAGTTATAACAACATAAGAAGAGCCTTTTGGAGGCAGCCAACGGCTCATCTAGTCCAACATCCTGTTCTCACAGTGACCAACAAGATGCCTATGGGGCACCTGGAAGAAGAACTTCAGTGCAAGACTTTGGACTAGATTACCCTTGTGATCCCTTCCAATTCTCCCCATATGTGTTTCCAGCAACTCTGATTCAGAGGCATGCTATCTCTGATAGTGGAGGTAGAACATAGCCATCATGGCTGGTAGGCCTTGATAGCTGTATCCTCCACACTGATGAGCATCACTACCTCTTGCAGGAGCAAATTCCATGGCCTAACAATGGACTATGCAAAAAAAAAAAAAAATTCTTTTATCTGCCCCAATCCTCCAGCATTCAGTTTCATTTGATGGGTGAAAACCATTTTCCTATCCACTTTCTCCAAACCATGCATTCTTTTATACATTTCTATCATCTTTTCCCTTGCCTTTCCTCTAAACTAAAAAACCCCACAAATGTTGCAAGAGTCCAGAGATATTTCACACAATTTATATGTGGTGGGGGGTATGGGGTGCAAGGGAAGGGGCAGTGTCTCTGCTGGGGGACATGCCATGCTCCTTCTGAGTAGTTGGTCCACCATTCGACCCCATCCTGCACTCAGCTCTCACCTGTAGTTCCTAGAATCTGTCAGCATGTGACAGTGGTCACACCCCCAGGTAATGACTTCAAATGGTCAGCTAAACCAAGTGGAGGTAGCTGATTGGTCTTAAACACTTGATGAATTAGAGATTTGTCTATTCCTTGTATGCAAGCATGGGCCCCAGTGGATTGAGTGGACAAGACCAACAGTGGGCCCAACAGTCAAGAAGGCAGTTACTCCACGTGCTGTAGAGGGAAATGAGGGGCAGCTGGGGCTCGTCAACCTGGGAAGGTAGCCCATCTAGGAGAAGGAAAACTCTTATCCTAAACTTCCACTGCCTTGTGGCTATACTCATTAATGAGAAAGGCTTCAGGAGTAAACCCTGAGGAAAAATCTGTACCCATGGCCTTGCTAAGGAATAAACCCTACACAAATCTGGAGTGGAGTTCCTAAGATGGCTTATTGGCATCGTGTATGCCTCCTTCCAGCAATTCCTGCAGCTAAGCTGGTGCTAAATTTATTGCTTTGCTTTCCTTTGGACCACATCACTGAGGCCAAGAGGTGGATCTTGTCGTCTAGGCAGCCCAGGACCTCCATACACACTACTCAGACTTGTGCCCTGGAGAGGTTGCACCAAAAATATTGTGAGAGGCAGCAGTTACGAGTTATAAGCTCGACCTGATTGGCATAAGAGACAGGCACTACGGGTTGCCTTCATTGGTGGGAGAGATTATCATGTCTCACTGGTCAACTACTGCCCACCTTAAACCGAAAGGCCCCCGGTCAATAAAGTGCTGATCCGCCACTGTCTGACAGCTTCAGTGTGTGGATATGGTTCAGGGAAGGTCAATTCCTGGTAAATATACACAGTGATTGATGAAATATCTAATGGGAACAGAAATCAATTGAAAAAAGTACTTTTGTGTGGGTGGGGTAGTAGTTAAGCATTAGCCTACTTTCCCTTTAATTTCCTTAATATACAGAGCTGTCTCCCTGACCCCATTGCAACCATTTTCCTTAACACAATGAAATTATATTAACCTTGTTGAACAATCTAACTGACAGCTTTAACAATCCCAATGATTACACAAATGGAAAACAGTCATGCTGCAAACTGCAGATTTCTTGTCCCCTGCTGGGCATTCTTGGGGCCCTTGCTAACTCAATTAGCCCAGTATTTCTGCAGGATGTGCCATTTAATTTACTAAAAACCACTCACAAAGGCTACTGGAAGGCTCAATTGAGATTAAAACAGAGGATTATTTTATTATTTATTATTATTATTATCATTGCATGTTCAGACCCAGAGATCTCACTCCTAAATAAACACACAATTGACTCAAATTTTAGTTTTAGTTTTTGGCAGAATTTAGGCCACAACTTTATTGATTACAGAAAAGTGAGTGGTTGCATAGGCTCTGGTTCAACTAGCTCCCTGCACCCTTGCAGGTAGCGCTGACCCAGAGCTCCATCATAGGTCAGCCAAGGGTGAACACCTGAGGTAGGTGAAAAGCCTGGGAACAGACTCTGTCCACACCCCAGATGCTCCCCTGGACTCAGGCATGGGCACAACGCTCTCTCGGGGGTTGACCAAACCAAGTTGAGTCCCTGGGTTCCTTTAATGGAATGCCCTTCACATAGGGATGGTGAGACCGCTCTCCCATCCCCATCACCTGAGCCAGAGCCTATCCACGATTTGCTACGCAGCAGGAGAAACCCAAATAGCAACAGCCAATCAGCCAAGTGGGGAAAATTCCTGCCATGCCCCTGTCCCAACGACAGACAACACACGACGGCATAGCAAAGTCAATCACAAGATGCCCTAAAAATAGGGAGAGGTGGACGAGTGTTCTGATGCACGAGCCGAAAGAGGAAGCTCTGTCCCTTGATCCGTTTAGACTGCACCCTAGTGACCAGATTAAACCCAGCAACGAGGGACCTACCAATTGGGGGTTGTGGCTGTCCAATATACCCACCCACAACCAGGAGGGCAGTCTCTAGGTCTCACCGCAACACCTGCCCTCTCTTAGGGAGGACACACTTTATCAAATGGTAACAAAAATGTATGTCAGGGCATTAAGAAGTAAAGCACACTTCAGGTCAAAAAGATTTTTTGTAGGATTCTTTCTGAGAAGCTTGGTTCAAGTTGAATTTTGTACATGTCCCAGAACTAAATGTGCCCTTGGTGTGCCCTGAGAAATGAGTTTGATGCTATTGCAAAGGAATCAGAGGAGGGACAAGGGCTCAGTGGTAGCATGTCCCCTTGTCTGAAATTCTGGACAGTTACTGCCAGTCTGTGTGAGAAATATTGAGCCACATAGGCCAATGGCCTAAGTATAAAGCAGTTACCTATTTTGCTAAAGATACAGTCTTAGAATCATAGAGTTGGAAGGGACCATGAGGGTCATCTAGTCCAACCCCTTGCAATGCAGGAATCTCAGCACATGGTCCCTCATCCAATGGGGAACCATACTGGACCCTGCTTAGCTTTGCAAATGTGCTAGCAGTTTTATTGCTGCTGGAATTCCATAGCTGTGACTACCAGTCATGTTTTGGTCTTTTTTTAAAATGTAAGACCTCTCCACTCCCTGGCCATAACCCATAACCCTTTCAGGTGCTATGGCAAGCGGTGGGGCGGGGGCAGGGTCCTCACCACTTTTATCCAACAAAATAGAAGGAAATAATAAAAAACATACAGTCCTGGCATAATCTAGAGCAGTAAATGTTACTGGATTAGCAGTATATCTGCAGAAGCAGGCAAAGCACTTGGCAACCTGATGGCAAATATGCACACCCTCCCCAGCAAACACTCTCCTGAGGTGGGACAGTATCCTTGCTGCCCTTACCAGAAACTGGAGGTTTTGTCAGATGAGATGCTTGATAATGGCTTTCCCCACGAGGTCTTCAAAAAATAGTGTGAACACCACTCCTCCTGAGTCTATTCTTGTATTGAGCACAGAATTTATAGCATAAAATGCACTAACCTGATTACACCTCGTGAAAACAAGGAATCAGGACTTTAGCATTTTATAAAAATTCAGTTTTAGAGCTATATCACTGGTGTGTTATCTCAACATCCAGTTAAATACAATGGTGAGCTTTCTCACAGAATGGTTATGACTCCCACTTTGTCAATGAAAAGTTTTTATAAGTTATTTGTATTTGTCAGGGTAGAGGGCATACTGCTGTTGTATGATCCATTTAAAAAGAGTGGATAACTGTGGTATTTTGCCTGTTTGGCTAAGAGAAAAAATTATGCCCACAGTTAGGTGAACTCTTAACGTGAAGGTTCTGCAAGCAAATAATAGCTAAAGGTACAAACAGAGATCTGGGTCCCCGTTTCTCTGTTTGTTTTCTTTGCCCCCCCCCCTTTCCTTTTGATTGAAGGCTTATATTTTAGATGCTCACATGCTCATTTTCACTTCTATCTTAACTGATGACAAGGGGAAGGTAGATGACAAAGGGAAAATAAGAACATACCTTCAAGGAGACATGTATATGTGAATGAAAATTTACTGACTGTAAGAGGAACTTTCAGCCCAAAGGCCACATTTTCTTCTAGGCAATCTCCAAGGCACCACGTGCTAGTGGTGGATGAGGCCAAAAGTGAAAGTGGGTGGAGTTACCTTTATACTGTATATACTTTATACTGTTCCCTTTATACAGTAGGCAAGCAAGAAGTACTATCAGAGTGCAAGGACACTTTCTAACCAGACAAAAACTCTCAAGGAGAAGTGCCTCTTGGGGTTGTGGCTGGGGAGGGTTGCTCCTTGCCCCTGCCTTCTGCCTTGTCTTCTATTCCTGGCTGGGTCTTGGTTTTGACTTAACCCACAATTCCTGGTTCCTGTCTTCTGTGGTTCTGAGTTGGCTTTAATTCTGGTTGTCTCTCAGCAATAAAATATAATTTTTGAATGTTTTTAATGAGATTTGCACATGGACAATAGGAGAAAGTGTATTGTGTAGTTCTGGAGCACAGAATTTCATCCTAAAGCTTTGGTTGCACAAGTGATGGTCCAAATGTTACCAGTTTGGGGCAATTTCGTTCCAGTCAAAGTCTTCCTTGGGCTAATGCCTGGCCACACCTCACTCTTGTCTGGCATATTGTATTTCTATTTCTCATTACTCCTTTCTCTTTCCAGTATAGGTTACCTTCACACATTAAACCAGTCTTTCCCAACTTTGTGACTTCCAGATTTGTTGGACAACAACCCCAGTCATCCCTGGCCATTTGCCATGCCAGCTGCCACTGATGAATAAGGAGCCCAAAACACATGACAGGCAGCAGGTTAGGGAAGTCTATATTAAAGAAATAAACAGTATGACTGGTTGTTGCTTGTCACTGGAAAGCTGTATCAGAGCTGCTAATGGAGATCTGGATTAATTCTATCTGAGACTTGGCTCTCTTGGATCCCCTTATGTAGCAAAAGAGGGAATGTCTGAAAAGGGGATAGGTTTGAGGTTTGATTTCTGTTTTTCATGAATAAAGGACTACAAACATGTAATATTACAAACATGCTAATGTCACACATGCATGCTGCGAGGCATGATGATGTGTTGTGTGCACACCTGTGGCTTGTGTGTGTGACACGAGCACACCCCCTGTGGTATGCATGCATAGCCATCAGGGAATTTTGAGGGGGCCCTTGTCTCCCTGCCTCCCCCACCCGATGGCATGCCTGTATTGAAGAGTTACAATGCCTGTAGTAGGTGTAAAAATTGATATGGGAGAGACCTGTTTCATTGCAGGTGAGGCAGATGAAGGTGTTCGATTTTGCTGCAACAGGTGTACCATGACATTTCTTCTCTATGCACTCCTCCTAGTGGTCATTCCTCATGTGGTCCCTGCTGTAGATACACAACCTGACTTTCTGTATCCAGGCATTACAATCATCTGCAAAGGATTCCCATATGGTGGGTTTCATTTTGCCAGTCTTCACATCACATTTGCAGACATTTTTGCAAGGAAGAGTTGGTCCACCAACAGGCCTAGTGTCTAGAGCACATCCTTGGGGTTCCTGTCATCTTCCATTTTGTGTATATGACCAAGGCAGCAGAGACGTCACTGAGAGAGTAGTGTGAACATGTTGGGAATGTGATCTATAGTTTCAGGCTATAGAATGACTAGCATAGTTTTCTCACAAAACATGTGTACATTAATTCCATTCTCGCAATTAACATCACATCTAGTTCGTAAGGAACCATCTCCATTACAATGATAACACAGGCTTGATTCCTTTTTGTTTTTGCCATGTTTCATAGCATAAATTGAAAATGTAGCTCTCACTCATAAACGAATAAGACTGTCTTTCCACCATGCACAATGCACTACTCCCGTCATCTTGACCACACCACATCGACCACCAGCAACAAAAAAACCCTAAATGCAGGAAAGAATAAGTCTGTCACCCATTTTTATATCCTGATTTGTTGCAGTTGGAGCCTCTTTTGTATAACATAATTAAGAAAAGTACTCCACAAGAGGTCCTTGCATCCACTTTCTTCTAAAGAGAACTTGTAACACAATTGGGCCCCATGCAAATAACTTGCAAATAACCTGAAGGCCACATCCTGTTCAATTACAATTATCACGCAAGCCAAATTCTTTGCCTGAAGCCCTCCTCATTTATCCAAACAATTCCACATGCACTTTCTTTGCTGTCCTGCAGATGTATATAGTGTATCTCTGACCCCTTTTTGAGTCATTAGCAAATGTACTCATAACAGAACCATTGATCACATTCACAGCTACCCCCAGGGTGATTAATGAAATATGCAAAGTGAACAAAATCACACTCAGAATTGATTCCTAAAGCATCCTAATGATTGTTCTTCAAATGTGAATGATTCACTTTCCCTCATGCCTCCCATGTTTTATTCTTAACCATTTTTAAAAAATCAATAAGAATTTGCACACATGCCGCACTGGGTTTTGCCTTGAAGTCTCAAAGTGCTTTGCAAAATAAATGAGGCCCTGCAGCGTTCAATCTGCTGATTATCTTTTGCTTTTTTTCCTAGGTGGAAAAGATGGTAAAATGAAGTGTGTTCAGTATCTACAGATTGTATCAGAGATACTGCAAAAACATCTGAAGTGGGTTACTTTGTACACAGGGATGGAATGCATCCTGCCCCTACAGATAATTCTTCTGTAGCTTCTACTGCAGAGGAGATAGCACACAGCCTGAACATAAATCTGAAACAAACAAGACTTTATTAAAACACACATCAAAGACACATCTATAGCAGCTGCACTACTTCTGCTAGAGAATTAAACACTGAAATCTAAGCTTTGCAAGAGATCAACTGTGGTCCAAAGAAGTGTAAACATTATTATTATCATTTGTTACACTTATTAGTTGCTTTTTTATGAAAAGTAATTTCAAAGCAACTTACAATATAATGCATAAAATTAAAACTGATATAAGACTAAAACAAAATAAAAGCTGAAAACATTCATATACAGTGGTACCTCGGGTTACAAATGCTTTGGTTTACAAACGCTTCGGGTTACACACTCCGCTAACCCAGAAGTAGTTGCTCCAGGTTGCGAACTTTGCCCCAGGATAAGAACGGAAATCGCGCGCCGGTGGCGCGGTGGCAGCGGGAAGCCCCATTAGTGAAAGTGCACCTCAGGTTAAGAACAGTTTTTGGGTTAAAATGGATCTCTGGAATGAATTAATTTGTAACCCAAGGTACCACTGTATACAAAATGTAGTCTAACACATCCCATCCACTAAAGGAGGCCTCAGTATCTAAAACTGTCTGAGTTAAAGGTCAAACACTTGGCTAAAAAGAAACATTTCTGCCTGGAACCTAAAAGAAGCCAATGATGGTGTCATGTGTGCCTTCCTGGGGAGAGCATTTCATAAGCAAGGAGTCACTACTGAAAAGGTCTGTTCTTGTGTTGCCAACCTCAGCACCTTTCTTGGAGAAGACACATGGAGCAGCAACTCAGATGAACACAAGGTCTGGTGTGTTCCATGTGCAAAGAGGCAATCCTTAAGGGTCCTGAGACACATGAGGCTTTAAAACTGTCTTCCACTGGCCAACCATCTAAATTCTGGGCATGAATTTCATAAGTTAATTATTGTTTATGCTGAACAAAAATCAATATCACAGAGAGAAAGGTTCTGGCATTATGAAAGAAGGAGAATAAAACAAAATTCTTCATCTAGATCCCCCTTGGTATTTTTTGTTATAATTATCCTATATTTGCATTCCTAAAGGGTTTCATGATGAGTTTAATTTGTGTCATCACAAGGTACAAACCCTGAATCTTTTACAGTCTGGAACAAAGAAGCTGCAGTCATGACTACCTCTTCATCCCAGAGCTAGCACATGGGCGGGGAGAGGCAGGCAGGCAGAGAATTAGTCAGACATGCCATGTACTTGTATCCTGATGTCAGGCTGCTGCCAGCGACTACCATGGCCGGTTGCCCAGGAACATTCAAAGACAAAGAATGTTCTTACCGTCCACTTTTTATGTAGTATTTACAGAGAGAGGATATAAAACCCAGAGTCTTGGATAATGGTGTTGTCCCGCGTGAATCCCCCCCTCCGTCTCTCCCACTTCCTCATTCATCATCCTCATCGTCTCCTCTATGGGTGCTGCCACATGCCCTCTGTCTCTGAGCTCTTTGCTCTCCTACTTTCAAGGCTTGCCAGGTTCTGGAAGGGGGGGGAGGTCCTGGAATGCTTTCTAAAAACACTGTGTCCATCAGCTGTCACCCCCCTGGTGCTTCCTCCTCCTCCTCTTCTCCCATTATTTCCCAACTTTTCCCTTTATCTGCCTCTGAGCTGTGACCTCCTTCAACCCCCTTTTGCAATTCTAAACTGTTTTCCTCTTCTCTAGACGGGTCAGGCTGGGAAGGCGGTCTCCACCACTCTTCCTCTGCCCAGTTCCTGACACCTGATGAAGTATGAACCAGGACATCTCATATGCTCACCACTGCTATGGTGCATGAATGTTCTACCCTTTGCTAGTAATAACACCCTTCCCTGTTCATTAGTACTATGTAAGTAATACTGTTGGCTTACATCACAATGTTATTTTATGGACTATTGAGATGGTGAACCTGATAGCAGTGGTTACCAATTAGCTAAGTACTGTAGACCCTCTGCTTTTCAAAAGCCAAACTGTGGACCCCCATACTTTTGAACATTTTGATATCTCTATGATAGTTTCTGTTATGTGAATGGAGTCAGAGACCCCATGGCTGGGTTGTCCACAGACTCTCTGGGGTCCACAGACTACCAATTGGGGGCCACTGCCTTATAGGTTAGGGGTGGGGAACCTGCAGATCTCCAGATGCTGTTGGGCTACAACTCCCATCAGCCCATTTGCTGGCAGAATGGGGTTTATGGGATTTGTACTACCGCAACATCTGGACATCCACAGTTTCCCAATCCGTGATATAAGTGTTAATAATGATTATGATTTACTTGCATAGTTTTCAGCTATCCAATAGTCTCTGAAAGGAGGAATGTGATCAAAACAGGGAATTATAGAGAAGAGATCATAAGACAGCAATTCTATACCTTTATTTGTAAGCATCACTGAACGCAATCTGTGTCAATGTGCATAAGACTGGGCTGCATACTGTTCTATATGGAGCTTTGAGCCACAAGCAAACCTGCCAGATATAATTGAGGGATATAGGAGAGCAGATAGTTTTATGTTACCTGCTCTTGAAATCCCTTCATCCTCATTCTCCCTTTCTCTAGTTGTCAATCTTGAACCTATCACCAGCTCTTCCTTTACTAATAGGAAAAGACAGCCCTTACCTGGAGCGAGCTCTCCAAGACAGACCCAGGTATGAGCCAATTTTTTATTTCCAAGTGGAACTAATGAAAAGGGTCATTGGTTTCCCAGAAGACATTCATGGTATTAGTTGCAAGACTTGGATTTTCTCCTCAAACAAAATAACTCTTCCTGCCTCCCTTTCTCCCGCCATCCAGCCCTCCATCTCTAGTCTATGCATGTCAAGTAGGTGGGATAGCAGAGCAAGAAAAATGACATTTTGGGCCCAGGTTCCTTACAGAACTGCTTGGTCATTGAGGTCATTTGAGGAAGCCCACTAGGGTGTCACCAGAGTGACTGTATTTTGCACAATTCAACAACATACTGGAAATGTAGGTTTGTACAATTTAAGTGGATTTGACAACAAATTCACTTAAACATGCACACACAGAGACTTTTTGTGGTTAGGAAAGTGACAAGGAAGTGCACAGAAAAGTGGGATGGGATGAACTAATTATTAACAGGAAGACATGCAAACACACAGTGAACAAAGCACAGTGAGCACAGGATAAATATTCATTGTGGTATAGCTATGGTTGACGTGTTGGAAAAAACCCAGGCATATCCTCTTTTGGGGGCCAACATGCCCATCCTGGCAGATTTTTACATTTTGGGGTTTGGGCATTTTGGGGGGCTGCGGCTCAGCTGGTTTGATCTCAGGCTCGGTCTCAGGCTGCTCTACAATGAGTGCACAAGGTTGCAGCCCAAATCTCACACTGGACGAGATATTAATACTGTATCTACTTCTCTCACCTCTTCACAAATCCCTTGTATTAGATGTTATTTGAATATTATTGCACACTATCAGAAAGTCTATCTCCCAACTATGGAAATTTTGCTGACTTCCCACTGAGCCTGCTAGAAAGATAACGTGAGTCCACACTTACTGGAGCAAGATCAGTTACTTCTCCAGGTTCCTGTCCATCAACTAGCTGTCTCCACCCACGTACATGCTTCACCAAGAACACATAAATATACCCTTAATGCATAGCGTGGAAAATAGGTAGACATTATCTCCTCTAAATATAACTCCACAACCAAACTAAATTGTGCTACATAACTCTGCAGGCATCCGTCTCTGTTCTTGAATCCCTTATGGGGAGAATTTAAACGTGGGATGTGTATTCCCCGCCCCCCCGCGCCTTCAGGATATGTTTCTATCAACATGATGCTCTCCCCATACACCCTCTAAATCTATTCTAGGGGTAGGCAACCTAAGGCCTGTGGGCTGGATGCAGCCCAATCGCCTTCTCAATCCAGACTGCAGACGGTCCGGGAATCAGTGTGTTTTTACATGAGTAGAATGTAATTTTATTTTAAATGCATCTCTGGGTTATTTGTGGGGCCTGCCTGGTGTTTTTACATGAGTAGGATGTGTGCTTTTATTTAAAATGCATCTCTGGGTTATTTGTGGGGCATAGGAATCCGTTCATTTTATTTTCCAAAATATAGTCTGGCCCCCCACATGGTGTGAGGGACAGTGGACTGGCCCATGGCTGAAAAAGGTTGCTGACCCCTGCTCCAACCGTATGGAGCAGATTTGAGGAGGGAGGGGAAGGGAAGGGAAGGAAGGGAGGGAAGGTGAGTGAAGTCATGTTCCATAAGCAGAAATCCCTGAGCTGATGGGGTGTGTTAGCAGAATACTACCCAATACATTGGACTCCTGTCCTGCCTCTGCTTAAGCGAATTTATCTATAGATTTTTCTCAGATATGTACCATACTTTACATATCACTCCTTATTTCTCATGGCACAAAAAGCCTGAAATACATCATTATGCCTTCAACATGGTTTGGATGAGCTTCCTTGCCCCTTAGGGACAGTGAATCCATTATTCTAAAATGTCACTTCTTACACTGGAATGCATGCCAGTGGGGATTCCCCCTGTCATTGTGTGAAATATCTTCCCATTATTATGCAAGTATTGTCTGAGTGACACAAAAAGCTTCTCTCTTGTGTTGCAAAGAAGCGGCAGAGTCAGGCTTCCTGTTAATGGAGGGTCAAGCAGAACCAAGAGGAAGGGTGATCTGAGGCCTCTTCTCAGAAAGAAGATAATGTACAGCTGGAAAAGAGTAAGAAAGAGCGCAAACAAGTGATCATGAGGCCACAGCAACTCCCCTATGAGGATAGGTTGCAACCTTTGGGGCTTTTCAGTTGAGAAGGTGGTGCATGACAGAGGTGTATAATATTATGTATATTGTGTATTCTGTATACTATTATGTATACTTTGGGGCACTTAATGAAGCTGAATGTCGGAAGAATCAGGACAGACCAAAAGAAGAACATTTTTACACAGCAACTTGTTAAACAGTGGAACCTACACCCATCTGCTGTAGTGAAGGCCACCTAGTGTGATGGCTTTAAAACACAATCAGACAAATTCGTGAATGATAAGGATATCAGTGTCTACCAGCAATTATAGCTATGTTCTCCTTCCACTGTCAGAGGCAGTATACTTCTGAATATCAGTTGCTGAGAATCCCAAGTGGTGACAGTGCAATTGCACTCATGTTCTGCTTGCAACCATTCCATAGGCATATCCTAAAAAGCTTACAAGAAGCTTGGCCTATCGCTCAACATCCCAAAGAACCAAAGTGCTGCACCAACAAGCACAAAACAACCCCTCTGCAGCACCACAAATCCAACTTAATGGTGTAACATTGGAAAATGCTGATCACTTCTCCTACCTGGGCAGTAATCTTTCCACAAGGGCCAACATTGATGCCGAAATCCAGCATCACCTGAGCTCTGCGAGTGCAGCTTTCTCTCGACTGAAGTGCAGTGTTTTAGGACCAGGACATTCACAGGGAAACTAAAATGCTTGTTTACAAAGCTATTGTACTACCAACCTACTTGTGAAACATGGACCACTTATAAACACCATCTCCAACTCCTCGAAAGATTCCATCAACGGTGTCTCCGAAAAATCTTACACATCACTTGGGAAGACAGGAGAACTAATGCCAGTGTACTGGAAGAAGCAAAGATCATCAGTATCAAAGCAATGCTTCTTCAACATCAACTTCATTGGACTGGTCATGTTGTTCAGATACCTGATTATCGTCTTCCAAAGCAACTACTCTATTCCAAACTTAAAAATGGAAAGTGTAATGCTGGTGGTCAACAAAGGGGGTTCAAAGACTCTCAAGATAAATCTAAAAAAATGTAGTACAGTATAAACACTGACAACTGGGAAACACTCGCCTGCGAGCGCTCCAATTGGAGAAAAGCCTTTACCAAAGGTGTCATGGACTCAAACTTAGGATGAAAGGGAGAAACATGCTAAGAGGAAGGCGCATTTGGCAAATCCTCACCATAATCAACTCCCTAAGTCCCCACTGTGGAAGGATGTGTGGATCCAGAATTGGCCTCCATAGTCACTTATGGACTCACTGTTAAGTCTGTGTTCATAGAAGACAATCTTACTCAGCTATGAGTGATTGCCGAGGAAGAAGAAGAAGAAGAAGAAGAAGAAGAAGAAGAAGAAGAAGAAGAAGAAGAAGGTTGGCCACTATGAGAGTGTCCAGGATTGTGGGTTAGATGGGCCTTTGCAGTAAGACTGTTGTTGTTTTATTGAGATCAGCAAGACGTAAATCTAGTTAACATTCTTACTCCTTCATCGAAGATTATTTGTCAAGTTTAAATGCATTTTATTTTGTTCTGCTTTGCTAGAGGCTGCAGACCAATTCTATTCTGTTCTGTTTTATATGCAGAAGGGACTGATGCCTTCCAGAAGAAGAAAATATGCAAATCAATGCAATATGTACACAGCCCTGGCTTTTGTTCATATACACAAACCCACACTAACAGTAATACTCCAAAACACCTAACATTGACTTTGGGAGTGAAGCTTTCCCTGTGCCCATTCATGAGTGCTACACTGGCCATAATGGAAGAAAACATACATTTTCAGTACAACACTGTGGTACAGGGGTTGGAGTGCTAGACCTGGATGAGCCAGGAATCAAATCCCCACTCAGCCATGAATCCCACTTGGTGACCTTTGGACAGTGACTAACTCTCAGCCTCACCTACCTCACAGGGTTGACGTGAGGATAAAATGAGGAGGAGGAAGAGAAGTACATATGTGTCAGGATGCCTTCAGTGGCTCCTGGTGGGTTGCCCAGGAAAGTATAAAGACAAGGAAAAGTTTCTTACCGTAATTTTTTATTTCAATCTTTGCAGAGAGAGGCTATAGAACCCAGCCTCTTGGATGATGGTGTTGTCCCAAGTGAATCTCCACACACACATACACACACACACACACGTCTCTCCCACTTCTTCATTTGTCATCATCATCATCATCTCTATGGCTGCTGCTACTTGCCCTCTGTCTTTGAGCTCTTTGCTGTCCTACTTTTAAGGCTTGCCGGGTTCTGGGAGATGGAGGGTCTGGAATGCTTTCTAGTGTCAGCCAGCTACTGCTCTGACTCTGCCTGCTCCTCTTGTCTCATTATTTCCCAACTGCTCCCCTTATCTGCCTCTGAGCTGTGACCTCCTGCCAACCACTGCTGTAAATCTATACATACTGTCTTCCTCTTCCTCCTCCCTGCAAGGGTCAGGATGGGGAGATGGTCTCCACCACTCCTCCTCCTCTGCCCAGCCCCTGACAGTACGTCACCTTAATCACCTTGGAATCAGGGTAGGATATAAATGTAATAAATAAATGAATAAAAAGTCATAAAGCAGAAAGCTGTGTTGCCTAACAAATGCAAGGTTCGTGGTATACTATGAAAAAATGTTATCTACATAGTAGGTTTGTAGAAATGAATAGCAATAAAGTTATGGACCTCATCCTTCACCTTTTTGAACCATAAATAGCATGGGTTGCCAAGAGAACTTTTTGTTTGTTTGTTAATGATATGGAGAGCTTTACCATTTTCACTTCTGACAGTTTGAATTTACCGGTAACTTCCTCCTGGATAAAGTATTTTGTTTACATACATTTTGCTTTGTGATTTATAGTGTAGTGGCCATTGGTTCTATGCAATAAAACATCTGACTGGCTGAAGCAAGAGGGTCTGCTGTTCCTCCTCACTTCAAGAGATGGCATATGAGCTGGAGGCAATTTTAAGTTCAGTTCGCAATTGTTATTATTTAATTAAAAAAACCTTCATGAAAATTCACTAGCGTTTTTGAACAAATTTCTCACCATATGAACATTTTTGTGCATGCACATTCCGCTAATATGCATACTTTTGCAAAGCAGTTATCCCTAATATAACATATTTTGGTGCTTTTTTATTATTATTATTTACTAATGTTTGCATTTATCTGCACACTTTACCCTAATATATGCATGTTAGTACGCATTTCCTTGCTGGAGAACTGCATTGCAAAATTAGAGAAGTGTGAATTTCAAAGGAGATGGCAGTTTTTTGGGTTGCAAATTGTTGCGGAAAATGTGAATTAGGTAGGTTCACTCCCTCATCCTGAGCCATTGCCCACCCACATTCATTCATCTCCACATCTTTCTTTTAAAAGTTGATATGACAGTCCTACAGCTTCTCTTGCCAACTCACTTCAAAGGCAAGGTAGTGTGTGTGTGTGTGTGTGTGTGTGTGTGTGTGTGTGTGTTTCACTACTAATACAAATTAGAGCATCTGTACATTAACAGGATTAACTTGAGTCACCATTTCTTCACAGTGACAACTGGAGGCTGTCCTAGCATATGACTCACCCCCATGCCTTCTGCTCTTTCCTATACATTTTTATTTTATTTATATTTTTGATGACAAGGTTCCCTCCCTCGGAGCTGTTCTGTATAATATGGTGTTATTTTTCCTTCTGCTTTTGTGCACCTGTCACATGAACAGCAAGCCCTGTTTGTTCTCTCTCCCACCAGCTGACAGAGCCGGTTCCACACAGCACTAAATTTGCTGGACCCTCTTCATATCCTGGCAATGAAAAAGGTTTTGTGAGAGACTGAGTGGTTCATAAGAAACAGAGAGGCTGCTGACCTTTCCATGAGAGGACACAGCTATGTTGCAAAAATCAAAAATCTATTTTCAAGTCCTTTCTACTGAAACGTCTACAGGTCTCCTGCTGGTAAAATATATGCCTGTGAATCTAATTGCTATCCTAGCAGAGTGCTTTATAATTGTTGTGGATTTTTTCTCTCTGTTCTCAATAATATTAGCTTCATTCCTGGTTCCATTTATGGTCAAAGTAAAGTTTTATGTTCTCAGTTTTGGCAATCGGTTTATTTAAAGCTCATGGTTTTCCACAAATGCTTCTTTTATCAATTTCTTTCTGTAGTTAGTTTTCTGTTCTCTGTGAGCACAACCCCCCAGGAATATCTTCTGAGCAAGTTATAAGAACGAAAGAAAAGCTTGCTGAATCAAGCCAGTGGCCCATCTAGTCCAGCATCCTCTTCTTGCAAGTGGCCAACCAGATGCTTGCTGGAAGCCCAAAAGCAGGATTTGAGCAAAAGAGCCTTCTCCCTTCCTGTGGTATTCAGAAGCATTACTGCCTCCTATGGAGACAGAACATAGCCAAGTAGCCGAGACCGAACAAGACCGCCCCCCCGCCCCCCGCAAGGCCCGGTTGGAAGAGGAGGGGGGAGTGCAATCCTGCTGCCTCTGAGTGCCTAGAGCTTGCAAAAGGTAGGACGGGTAGACAGCCCTGGGCTGTGAGGCTGCTACAGAACCACCACACATAACTCCATGACCTTTTTTTTTTTAATAATATTTATTATTTTTCCAGAAATTTAAACACTAAAAAAAAGAAGACAATGCAAAACATTAAATTAAGAAAACAAAACAAAAACAATAAAATAAATCAAACAGTTTCATTATCCCATCTTTCACTCACTTATTTCCGCGACCTCCTCACACCTCCCTCTTTGTATTCCACTTCTAATAATTATTTCAGCAATTCCTTTCCCTCTTCCTCTGCTTTCTATCCTTTAATTATCTTAACAGATTCTAACCTTATTTTTTCCTTTAATGCTCTATTAACCTATCTGTACTTACTTCCTTATAACATTTCTACTAAAGCCATATAACTTCATTCCAACATTTTTCTAACATTCATTAATTTTACAATATTTCTGTAAATAGTCTTTAAATTTTTTCCAATCTTCTTCCACCGACTCTTCTCCCTGGTCTCGGATTCTGCCAGTCATTTCCGTCAGTTCCATATAGTCCATCAACTTCATCTGCCATTCTTCCAAAGTGGGTAAATCTTGTGTCTTCCAATACTTCGCGATAAGTATTCTTGCTGCTGTTGTTGCATACATAAAAAAGGTTCTATCCTTCTTTGGCACCAATTGGCCGACCATGCCCAGGAGAAAGGCCTCTGGTTTCTTCAGGAAGGTATATTTAAATACCTTTTTCATTTCATTATAAATCATCTCCCAGAATGTCTTAATCCTTGGGCATGTCCACCAAAGGTGAAAGAATGTACCTTCAGTCTCATTACATTTCCAACATTTATTGTCGGGCAAATGGTAAATTTTTGCAAGCTTGACTGGTGTCATGTACCACCTGTAGATCATTTTCATTAAGTTTTCTCTTAGAGCATTACATGCCGTAAATTTCATACCTGTGGTCCATAACTGTTCCCAGTCAGCCATCATTATGTTATGTCCAACATCTTGTGCCCATTTAATCATAGCTGACTTCACCGTTTCATCCTGAGTGTTCCATTTCAACAGCAAGTTATACATTTTGGACAAATTCTTATTTTTTGAATCTAACAATTCTGTTTCCAATTTTGATTTTTCCACCTGGAAGCCAACTTTTGTATACCTCCATTATCTGATAATAATGGAGCCAATCTCGCACTCTATTTTTCAAAGCTCTGCAATTTTAATCTGTCTCTATCTTGTTCCAAAATTTCCCAATATTTCGGCCATTTGGCCTCCATATTGAGTTTTTTCTGTGCCTTCGCTTCCATTGGTGACAACCATCTTGGGGTTTTCTTTTCTAAGAAATCTTTATATCTTATCCAAACATTAAACAATGCTTTTCTGACAATATGATTTTTAAACACTTTATGTACTTTGACCTTATCGTACCACAAATATGCATGCCAACCAAATACATTATTTAAACCTTCTAAATCCAACATGACAGTGTTCTCGAGAAGTAGCCATTCTCTCAGCCAGCAAAAAGCCGCTGATTCATAATAAAGTTTTAAGTCTGGCAGGGTAAATCCACCTCTTTCTTTAGCATCGGTTAATATTTTAAATTTTATTCGAGGCTTCTTGCCCTGCCAAACAAATCTGGAAATATCTTTCTGCCACTTCTTGAAACAGTCCATCTTATCCAAGATTTGTAATGTTTGAAACAAAAACAACATCCTTGGCAGCACATTCATTTTTATCACAGCAATTCGGCCTAACAATGATAACTTCAAATTTGACCATATGTCTAAATCCTTTTGACTTCAATCCAACATTTTTCATAATTGTCCTTAAATAAATTCACATTTTTAGCAGTCATGTTAACCCCTAAATATTTCACTTTCTTAACCAGTGTTAGTCCTGTCTCTTCCTGAA